AAGCAGAAGGCTCTGCCTGAAGAGACAATGAGCTTCCAACACTGGGGGAGTCTGAAGAGCTCAACTAACGTCTAGAAGTTGCTACTGAGAAGATCCAGTAATCAGATTGTAGGAGGGACTCCAGCAGTAACCAATTTGTACATTCTTGAAATATTAGAAGATTTAAAAAAATACAGATGCCTAAATTATCTTACAGATATACTGAATCAGAATGTAGGGCACTGGCATCTGCATTCTTAACAAGGACCCAGGTCATCTGCACACTGGAGTGTAGGAGCCAGTAGACTAAATATCTCCTATGTGTACCTTGGAAATGAGACCATTTGATCTTAAAATACCACAAGGTATGCTAGCAAGAAACTCTGCCAGTTTTGCCACCCTGAGGGTGGCATTTGGAGATGTAGAAGGGGATGCATCCTGATCCTTGTCTCTTCTGTACATGAGGCTCCCCTCTGCGAGAAAGCAGGACTCCACTTGGTTCTGTTGGAATGATAGACCCATAAGGTTTAGTCACATTGTGGGTTAGCAAGCTTGTGTGGGCTAGCCTGGGAGCCTAACCACTATTTATAACATAGTTTCTGTGGGAAAATATGTTCCAAGTTTCAACAACTGCCTTTCAAAAATATGCCGGAGCACAACTTCTCAGTAATTGGGACTCTTTATATAAAGTTACTTTCTCAGAAACTTTTAGAATCTCATGACAAACTTAATCTCAGAGAATGAGTAATTAATCAGCTTTCAGTGTCAGCATTTACACTGGAAGAAATTCTTCTGCCCTGAATAATTGTAGGTCTACTTTAACAACAACTATTATTTTTTCTCCGACAACTGTGTGAAGGTTTCTTCCTGCTCTCATTGTTTTGCCCAAGGGAGACTGGCGCTGGCTTCACCTGGGAAGTGATGAATGGCCTGGGATGTAATGTAGTAGCAATGAGTCCAGCTTGGTGCTTGCAGTAACAGTGAGAATGAGGTCACCTTTCACAGCTTAGCTACACCTGTATCCTGTTCCAAGGACTCTACCCACAGAAATGAGGTCAACATCCATATTGATATTGTTCTCCACCCCTTTTGTCCCCTGTCCCCTGGACAAAGAACAGTTTTATGAGACAGAAAAGATAGAGACTTACAAGTACACATATAAAAAGTATATTTGATTGCTCCAAGGTCAAACTGAGTAAACAATATGATCTTGGCTCCCCTACTGTCCCCACAAAATAAATAAATAAATGAACAATACCAAAGAAAGTAAAAAATCCCATTCATTTATCCTTTAGTGAGACCCACTGCGAATATTCATCTCAGGTCTGGACCCCCAACTTTAAGAGGGTCATAGAAACCTTGAAGGATGCCCCAGTGGCATGTTTGGGTTAGGACAGAGGCCAGGAAACATCTGAATGTAATCACTGGGTTGAACAAATAGACTCAAAGACAGATACCACCAACCCTCAGATGCCTTTGTGTATGTCAGAGAAAGCTCACAGAAGCAAAATCCAGGAGAGAAGAAGTCAAAGGGGCCTCATTCCTTTTATGCTTAAAGCCATTAATTAGGGAAATATACTTTCAAATAATTCTTAAGCCTTTTAAAACAGCCAATAGCTGAATTAATAAGTAGAAATAGACCAAAATCATATTTAAAAAATCAAAGAAAAAGTAGCCAAATAGTAAAGGATGGAAAATAACAGGGATGCATTAAGACAAAACATTTAAAAATGTGATTATCACTATAGCAATACAGTATAAAGAGGAAATGCACCTAAGAAATAAAAACTGCCATCCGTGTTTGGAAGAAGCTCACTCTAATCATTAATCAGAGAAATGCAAATTAAAATTAAACGTAGATATACTTTGTTTCTTAACCTAACAAATTGACAATGATTTTTAAAAATCAAAATACCTATTGTTGTCAAGGATGCAGGGAAATGGGTACTTTCATACACAGTGGGATTTTAACGTTTCATATTTGGGGAGACTAATTTGGCCAGATATATGTGTGAGGAGTGTTTAAGTTTTTTATACTCTGCTTCAGCTATTATGCTTCTGGGAATTTATTCTGAAAGGAATAATTACGAGTGTGTGTTCAGAAAATTTAGATACAAGGACACTTTCTGCAGTCCTATAATCAGGAAAATTTAGAAACAGTGTAAATGTCCAGTAACTGGAAATCAGTTAAGGAAGTAAAGGTAGGACACCCATGCACTAGGGCACCGTTGGCCACTGTCAGCACATGTGTTGCTGCAGGCTCTGGTCCTCAGGGCATCCTGGGCCAGTAGCTCTGCTGGGTGGCCAGGTTGAACATGTCATCTTTACTATTAATAGCACTAGCTGGAATTTGTGGGGCACCTGCCACGTCTGGGACACTGGACGGGGCCCTTTGCATTCTTCATCTCACTGGATGTGCATAGCCGCCCAGCAAGGGAGGACTCAGAAACATGCAGGACTCAGCACTCGCTCCAGGCTGCAGTTAGCAAACCACAGAGCAGGAGCTAGAGGGCAGGTCTGCCTCCCGCCAAATCCTGTGCCCTTACCACTGTGCCAGGCTCCTACCTCTACTGCCAAGAGGAAACTTCTTGATCACCTGATCCAACCTCCTCATTCCTCAGATGGAGAAACTGAGGCTTAGGAAGATTCTCCTTAGGTATTGTTTTGGGTTCTGGTGACACCTCAGTAAGCAAGCCAGATAACATCCCGGTCCCCATGGAGCTTAATTCTAGTTGGAGGAGGGAAGGGTGGAACAACACCAAATAATCAAGGAAACACACAAGTGGGAAAATCACAGGAAGTGAGAAGTACAGTGAAGAAAAGAAAACCAGTGGATGGAGAATGCCTGGGCTGAGGGGTGTTTAGAGAGGGTGGTTCAGGGAAACCATCCCTAAGAAGTGGCAAGTTGACAGTTGAATGCTGAGAATATCAGCAAAGAGCTGGGGAAGAAGCTTTCTGGCAGAGGAAACAGCTGGTGCAAAAGCCCTGAGGTGCAAACAAACCTGATGCAATCACAGGATCCCAAAGTTGTAAGGAAGAGAGTGGGCGTCATAATGGGCCCTTTCACGCTCCCACGGGGTGAAATGGTGAAGGATGAGAGCCAACTCCAAGGGACACGGTGGGTGGAGGAGCGTGACTGAGAAGAGGCTCAATGAGTTGGGCTGGGCTAGAGACAGTGCTGCCTCCTTGGGCAGCCCTTGAATTTGAGGAGTTTGCCATGTACTTTGAGTGATGAACAGAATTTGAAGGCTGGACATGATGCCTTTCTGAGGAAAAGTGTTAGTGGAATGAAGCCTTAGTCATTCCATGGGAGCTGAAACAAAAAAAGAAGACGTAGATTTGTTGGCAGGACACTAGCGTTCCCGTTTGGTCCTGCAGAATTCCCTACTTGCAGGGCCCACAGGGAGGACTGGCCATTCCCAGGCACATGCATGAGTGACCCGCCCTGCTGACACCTTAAGCCAAGGTCAAAAGGGTCACCCAGGCTTCAGCCACAGGGAAGCCCGGCCTTCCCTGGCTTAGCTGCACACCCTCCTCGGGCACTAGAGCCGGCCCTGAACAACTTGGGATGGTTTTTCAAAAGGCAGTTATGTCCTCAAAAGTCAAAAATGAGAGAAGCAGCAGAGGTGGAATGGGACCAATCTAGCCACACACACACACACACACACACACACACACACACACACACACACAAGCTGTGTGACCTTGGGCAAGTCTCTGGACCTCTCTGTGCCTCAGGCTTCAGGTAGAGGAGGTAGGTGTGAGGTGTGACCATCTTGGAGGGCCCTTCCCAGTGTAAACTGATGAGGCTATGGTTTCTATATATAGTTTGTCCCAGAAGAAGGTTTTTCCTTAGACTGAACCAGAGCTCTGATGACACTTCTGACAGGGCTTTAGAAGAGACTGAAGAGAGGTCCACAAAGGGGCTGAGGATAGTGGGTTCCCCTGGGGCAGCATCCATTTGGATGTGTAAACCTTAGGGACTGGAGTAAAAAGGCAGTTTCATTACTTTGTGGCCACAACCCAAATGTTAATACCACCAGTGAAACTCTTTTATGAAATTCAGTTAAATGGGAGAAAAAAATTCTCTTTTTAAAATGCCAAATATTTTCAGACTCTGTATATTACAGAAGAGGAAAGAGGAGCGGGCATGGTATGGGGTGAAAATAGCCCTTACCCCTGGGCACCTGGTACTATCTCCAGGCCCCATGCTCTAGAAAGGCCTCGCTCGGGCCCCATGGGGGTCAGAATCCACAAGGCCACTGGATTATGCCCACCTGGGGCCTGCACCATCTTCCTCCTGGACCGTACCCTGAATTCCCTGCCAAACCAGCTGGAGCCACTTGCAGGGCCGGGGTAGCTTCTTGCCTGACCAGCCCTTTTGGGGGTGGACTGCACTTCTGGAGTGGTCAGGGGGCCAGTGATGCTGGAGGGGGAAGGTAGTGTAGACTGAGCTTGGCTGGGCCACAGAGGTGGGCTACACAGAAAGGCCAGCTCCCCTGTGCTGCTGTGTTCAGCCTGAAGTTCTGAGGAGCCCCAGAACTCTGAACTCAAACTTGGCCTTTCAGATCATTAGGAAACTATATTCATTATGGGGATGTAGAAAATATTTTATTAAACTGTTTGCCTGTCGATAACTTAAATATTTAGACATATGGTATGTGTACTTTCATATGTGTGTGTACTCTAGCCCCAGGCCCTGTAAATATCAGGGGGAGGCCTGGTTAGGGCGTATTATTTCTTTACCCTAGCTTTGCCACACTGCCAGGGTTCAAATCTCAGCCCTCCCACTCACTAGCCACGTGGCCTTAGGCAAGTCAACTTTCCTGACTCAGTATCCTCATTCATAAAATGGGGACAGTAATAGCACCCACTGTACACAGTTGCTGTGAAGATTAAATAAGATAATGCATATAAAGAGCCTAGCACAATAAGCCCTGGAGAGTCTCAGCTCTCAGCACCACATGCCTGATGTCCTTGCCAGCTGTAACTTAGTGTTCCTCGGTCCCCTTGTTTTCCAGACTCCACAGCAGTACGAGAGAGAATACAACAACAAGAGGTCAGGCGTGGGGCCCAGCAAGTTCCATGGATATGCCTATGATGGCATCTGGGTCATTGCCAAGACGCTGCAGAGGGCCATGGAGACGCTGCACGCCAGCAGCCGACACCAGCGGATCCAGGACTTCAACTACACAGACCACACACTGGGCAGGATCATCCTCAATGCCATGAATGAGACCAACTTCTTCGGGGTCACGGTCAGTCCCACACCCCTGGGGTTCTGCTTTCCTTAGTGCCCCTTGGGGACATACAAGGCAACAGGGTCTGTGTCCCATGCCTTCTGATGTGCAGTCCATTCTCTTGGGTTGTTGAAATAACTTCCCATGGGCCAAAGGATTGCAGGCTGCCAAAATGAGGGCCAGGTACGGTGATGTTCTCTGACATGCTAGGAAAATGCTTTTCTCTAACTCATGGATTTCAAAGGGCAGAGCTAATTGACTACACACAGAGCAGGTGGAATTCACCAGGTGGTGGGGTGGGGTATGCCCTCAGAAGCTCTGGACCCAAAGTCATGTTCAAATCCTGGGCCTTCACTTTCAAGTTACCTTTTTCAAACCACAGAAGTTTCATTCCCAACATGGAAATACTACCTATCTTGTGAGGTAGCTATAAAACTTAACCATTACAAAGTAAAAAACTGATAATATTTGTTGAGCAAGCCATTTGCTCTGAGCCTCAAATCTCTCATCTGAGAAATGAGGAAAATTAACAATAATAATCAATAATATTTATTGAATGCATATTATGTTCTAGATACTATCTTAAACATTTTATGTAGATTAGACTCAATAATGTATGCCCAAGGCTAGGCACATAGTAGGCACTTAATAAATGCTAGCAATTGCTAATGTTAGTAATAGCTTCATTGCATCTGTATGCCATCTGTAGAAAGTAGGTGCCATTATTATCTCCACTAAAGGTGAGGCACCTTGAGCTCAGAGCATTTAATTTCTACAGCTAAAGGTAGAGCTGGGATTTGAACCTGGGTCTTGCTCTTAACTGCTGCATTACACCACTTTCTGGTAGTGGACATAAGTGGTAGTTATTTATGTCTCATGATGTGTATTAGTCACTGACTCTGCTCACAGGAAACAAGGAAAATTTTTTAAAGAATAGGTTGAAACAGCTAAACACTGTCCTGTGTTCTAATTTAAAAAGTCATTTACAGAATCAGCCTGGCCTGGGGTATTAAGAGGAGTTAATTGGTGTATTTCTTAAATGTTCCTATTAATTTATACATGAGCTCAGATTTGCTGGTCTGATGGATGGGCCAAGGCTTTTGCAGGTGCTGAGGGTGTAGACAGTGGTATGGAAGCCCAAGTGGGTAATATGGTACAGATGCAGGGGCAAGATCTAGACACAAATAACAAAAAGAGGCTAAAAGTGCTCAGCAAATGGAAAAAGCTATGTAAGCCCAGAGGAGTTCCTGTGACCTTTGATGAAAACGTCAGGGAAGCCTTTTTGGAAGAGGTGGCATGTGAGCTGTGCCTTAGACATGCAGAGAAGAGGCTTGCAGCCTGGCCAGATGGTGCGTGGTGAGCAAGAGAGAAATGCATGTGTGCAGGGACAATTACTTTTTGGGGAACATTGGAAAGAAGGAGGATGAGGCTGGGAAGGTAAGATGGGACTCAGTTCTGAAGGAACAAGCTATGACAGGCCAGTGATTCTCCAAGTGCGCCTTGACCATCAGTTTCAGTGCCCACTGGCAGCTGGTTAGAAATGCAAATTTTCAAGCCCAAATCAGAGTCTCCTGGGCTGAGGATCAGCTACGGTGGTTTAACAAACCTTCCAGGTAAATGTATGCACACTTGAGTTTGAGAACCACTGATCTGGGAGGTTGGGAGCTGCTGAGGTTTCCTAAAATGTAGTAGATTTCCAAAATCCTGTATAGGGCCACTCTTGACCTGAAGGCTCCTGGCATCTCTCCCACAGATCAGAAGCAAAGACTCTATTAGTTATGAGCAAAGCCCATGTTTATAGTACAGCATAGATTCACACTGGAAACTGTAACAGCTTTCCTCAGACCAGTGGTTTCAATTTTTTTTTTAATCCTCAGAACCTCTTGTAACATCTCACATGGTGGTGATATATATATATATATATACACACATATATATAACACCGATCAGAGAGAAGCCTCTTGGTTTAATGGAGGAGGGACCCAGAGCCCTGCCCGCTCAGCCCCCTCTTCCGGAGGCCCCTCCTCAGCAGGGCTCCACAGAGCGCCAGATGCCTCAGAGTCCTTTCTCTTCCCAGTGCACGATCACAGGCTGGGCCTCGGAGCCGGTGGGGTTTGCCCAAGGCCCACCGCGAGCACTGTGGCAGAGCTATTTCAAAACGTGGGTCATCTTTTCACGCTTTCTTACTTAGTAGAATGAATTCCTAGTAACCCAAGTTGAAGCGGCTGGATAGAGAGCCACAGAATCTGGGAGCGTTCTGCTGCTGCCTCTCATCCTAGACCTCGGCGTTTTGCCTAGATGCCTGATGTATCTTAGTTGGAGATAATTTCTAACTGCTTCTAAATGCTCCCTTTCATCTAAGGCAAATAATACATAATCCCTAGTCGATGAGCAATTAGATACCACTACTTGAAGTGCTTTACATGGCTTGAAGATGAATTTCTTTTAATGGGAAATTCCTTGACATGTATTTATGCCTGTTTCAGTTTGTGACTCATAATTCAGCAAATGTCAGAATAGAAAGCAGTCTTAACCTATTCATCCTCAAATTCACCCCTCGGTGTTGGAGATGGCATCTGAGCTTTCAGAGTCACGTGGAGAGATGATTCGGCAGCGCCTGGATGGTACTCTGATCGGCCCTGCGCCTACCACACTCCGCACCGTTTCCCTTCTCTTTGTGCAAGTCCCCTTTACTTGAGAAAGGTTGCAATAGTGCAGCAATACTTCGTCCTTTCTTCCCATTCATCCTTATCCCCTTTGTCACATATTAGTATGTGCTTGTCACCAGGTTGTAGGCAGGTTTAATTAAAACTGTCTTCTGATCAGAGAAAAAAAGGATGTCTTTTGATAAAATAAAAAGTGTCTCTGTGGTCCAAGGGGACCACAGCAGGCCAAGTTCAGCCATAAACAAAGAGAAAGGAAAGGAACAGGAGTTGGAAATAAATTGAAGCATTTTCTATCTGCTAGAGGGTTTTATTATACAGCACACATGTTATCCATTTTCCACTCTCAGGCAGACACTTCATTCTGGGTCACCCTCATTCAGCATGTTTACTATACGGAAAACCATTTAAACACATTAAATTAATTATATCCGTGACTCAATTTCAATTGATTCAACATGCACACTCTCGCCTGGGAGCTGGGCCTGTGGCTCTCGGTTGGTGTATTAAAGAGATTTCTTCCATGCATCCCAGATTGGGAATCTGGTTTATTTTGGGGTCCAGCTGTTTTATGTTCTTAGGAGCTCTCCTCCAGCTACTCTTCTCTGGGAAAACTGGGAGATGGGATTCTGTGTCCCTACCTGCACACCAATGGCCTGGGGGTACTCCCACTCTGGATTCCCTGAGTGCATGGTTCTGATTTTTGACCCTATTATTATCTCTATGATCTGCAAATCTCAGAATGCTTCCCCACCTGGAAACCTCTTTTCTGCTGCACATGTAACCAGAAACTCAGGCTAGAATTGGCTCTTTAGATCTCAAAAGCCCAGAACATTTTGAGACTCCCAGCTCAGCAGTGTTCATCTAGAGCAATGATTCCTAAATTTCTATATGTATGAGAACCTCCCAGTAAACTTTGCTAAAAATTCAGATTTCCCAGCACTGCCCCAGAACCTCTAATTAGGTGGCTTTGCTGTAGGGCCAAGAAATTCACATTATTAACAAGCAGTCTCCATGATCTTTGAAGAGCAACCTTGAGAATTGCTTGGGTCTCAGGCAGTGCACACACATACACATATATACACACATGAATGTACTTTTTTATTTTAAACCTGTCAGAGATATAGTTGCTCCTACATTCATTCATTCCTTTAGTGTAGACCCTGGGCTGGGTTCTGGGAGCTGGGAGCATAGAGAAGAACAAAGTATGGCCCCCTGTCTCAAGATCTCCCCACCCAGTAGGGGAGATAAGCAAGTAGATGAATAATTCCTGGACACTATCCAAGGTCTGCCCAAGGCCCTTGGAGGGTGGACTCCATTCTGTTCACAGAAGTAAAGACCAGGGAGCTATCCTCAATTTTTTGCAGCTCAGTAAGCAAAACTCCATGTGTGGATAATTACAATGTGGCCACACTGTGGGTCCTCATCCTGTGCATGTGCTGGGGAATGAGAATGCCAGTCAGGGTCCCCGACTCCAGCTCTCATGGAGATATACTGTGGCTTAACCAACTGCTCCAGTTAGGCTTATCTACCAAAGATGCACTAGATTCATCAACAACCTTATATGTGTAACCTTCAGAACATGCTTGGGAATGTGTGCTAAGTATCCAGGTAAAAATCAAAGCTTAATTCTCTTTGGTGATCATTTTTTAACTCCCCCCAGTTTCTAGTCTCTTAAAACAAGGATGACATACCAGCTCCCCAAGTGGACAATCTCTTTGGCATGTCAGACTGAGGTATGATGGCTCTAACCAGCAGTATATGCCCTTTAGTAAATGTTTCTTCCGATTTTTCTTCTAAGTGGACACTCTGGTTACCTTGCTGTGCATGTGACAGGCTAAATTACTAGAATCTTATACCATACCCCATTATGAAAATATAATACATGTAACATTTTTCCTCTAAAGTTACTGAGGGTATGTACCCCAGATTTGGGAGGGGGCTCTGAGGCTCCCAGGAACATTTGACCATGGAGAAATTGAAAGAATCTCCTGGGGAGTATTTTAGATTATGAGATGAGGGAGCTCATTCTTGCTAAACTATTTTCCATGACTGCCTCCTCACTCCCCATGGCTGGACCTAAGGGAGAAGTGATTACAGCCACCAAGAGGGTGACCTATAAGTTCCTCCAATAGGCGTCCTTACCCCCCACCCAGCCTCTCTCAGTCCAAGCCAGCTGCAGATTTGGACTGCTCAGCTTAGCATCTGTACCGAGAGATCGGCAGCCTCAGGTTCAGGCCTGTTACCTCCGATGGCTGTTCCTCTAACTGATCTCACCAAGAAGGTGATGAAGAACAGCGGACAGGGATTTGCAGAGTTTATTGATCTATTTGCTTTTGTTGCTGGTGAATAGGA